TCATCTGGTCAACCAAAGATCCTCCCCTTCTCCCAAGTACCTCTCAGCCCTTGTTCACGCCAGGTTATTCTTAGAGAAGAAAGCCTGCCAACAAAACCCATCTTACTCGAAGCAGAAAGAATCTTCTCTCAGCACTGTATCCCCGCTATCCCATCTGCATCTCAGCACTTAAAAAACAAAGAGTCCTGATTCAACAAAAGCCCCATGCCAGCTCTTCTTTTTAATATAGTGTGCCCTGTGGCAAGTCACTCACCTCTCTGTGTCTTTTTCCTTTGCTAAAATGGGGAGGTAATCTTTTCTGCCTCATAGAGAATGTATGGAAATGGCTGGGGTTAATTTTGTTTTAGCTCTTTGCCTCTTAAGAGCTGATATGTTTATTCCGCTGATACTGAGTAAATGAATCCTGTCTCCAAGGCCAAGTTCAACCTTTACAATATTTATGATGAAGGTAGCTTCTTCAAGCAATCATGAGTTACTGTGAAGGAGTGAAATAAAGATCGAGGGATGCTAAGCAGGGCACAGATGGGGCCCAGAAGAAGTGTTATAGATATAAACTTTTACCTGGCAGCAGACTAGAAGTATGAAGAATGCAGTATCTGGCTTGGGCATCAGAAGATTCTAGAAATTGGGGGAGGGATGGCAGGACCCCATATCATGACATATCTGACAAGAGCATGTCTAACATTTCAGAAAGCAGGTGCTTGATTCCCGGGCTAGCAGTTAGAGAAGCGGGGGCTTCTAACCATACCAAATCCCCGCCTCACCTCAAGGAAGTTAATCCTCATCCTTTTGATTATTTATGAAGGACATGATGGAGCTACTTTGTTCTCTTTAAATTTTTAGCAGTTCTGTTTCCTATCATTGCCGGGCCCTGGGGAACTGAATGTTTGGTGGCAGGGCAGGTGGAGGGAATTAGGGAAGAGGCAGGTATGGCCGAGGCTGCTGCTATGTGGAGGGGCAGTGTTAGCGCTACCCCTGGATGTTGGGTTCCAATTTTCCCCTCTGACTAACTGGCATTGTGGTCTTAGAATGGAAACAGTGGAACTCTTCACAGTGGGGATGGTCAGAGGTGTACCAAGTGCTTGTGGGTGGGACACTGAGTCTTATGGTAGTCAAGAAGAGAGAGCTGGGACTAAGCTGAGGGCTCCTGCCCTGAGTACTCACATCATGCCCTCCTTACTGTTTTGTACCCTCCAGCATGGAAGACTTCATCCAAGTTAAATGAATAATGATTCCAAAGAACCCAGCACAGAGCTGAAGACTGTGACTCAAGTGGTATAGGACTGGTGTAGCAACTGCAAGTTCCTGAGTTCAAACCCCAGTACCGTTAAATAGGATTGGCAACAAAACTGTTGAACTTCCAGACCTGAGTCCCATTCTGTTTCTTCTTCCTTTCCTTTCCCTTTAAGTTTCAACTGGATCTAATTAAGGGCATTACCATCTCAGGCCATCTGGTGGTGATACGTCAGAGGGAAGCCGTGTCTTCCATGGTTTAGAGGGCGAGAAGGCACTTGGGAAATGCCAGCAACAGCATAATCTGTTCTGGATGGAGTTGTTCCAATGCCAGAGGAAAATTCCTCAAAATCCCAGCTAAGGTCGTCAAGCCTTGGGTACTGTCTGCAAATCCCCTGTCCCCGCCTTTGGTGCGCAGTAGACAGAAGACTTAGTGGCATTAGCACTGATTGGGTTTAGAAACCCAATTTAGGCAGCTTTATCCTAATTAGGCTTAATCTTCTTTTTTTAAACTATCTCATCAGCACCAAGTTTGCAAATGTATACCAGGGCTATAATCTGTGGCTCTTTAAAATGTCTATACTTACCACTGGGTAGAGGTTGAATCAATATTTATTACATGAATGAGGAAACTGGAGGAAGGAAGAATCTGTGTCCTCTCACATGGTGGGGTATGGAGTGGAAACAGAATAGGTTTGGAGTCTAGCAGGTTAGGGTTCAAATCCCTGCTCTGTCATTTGCTCCCTTGTGCTTTTCTCAAGTTTCTATGGGATCACCACAGGGAAGAGGAAAGGGGGAGGTAGACCAGGAAAAGTGGCCTCATTGCTGTATTAGTTAACTACGGCTGCTGTAACACCAATGATCACAAACTCGATGGTTCAACACATACTGATTATTACAGTGCTAGACATCTAAAGACCACTGGACAAAAATCAAGGTGTTAGGCAGGGTTGGGTTCCTACACCGGAGAATCTACTTCCTGTCTCTCCCAGCATCTAGTGGCTGCAAAGCCTCTTCAATGGAGCATCTTCAAATTTCTCTGCCTCTTCGGCCTCCCTCTTCCATCTTTAAGGACTCCAGTGATCACTTTGGGTCCACAGGCCAAGCGAATTTCTCCATCTCGAGGTTCATAGCCCAACTGCATCTGTGAAATTCCTTTTGCCATGTAAGGCAACACACTCGCGGGTCTGTCTGCAGGGCGCCATTATCCTGCCTGCTACCTCAACCATGAATGTGACTGGCAGAGATGGGAAGTGCTTCTCTTCCTCCCCAGGGTTCACAGATAATATGTATTAACCCATGGGGCTCCCCTACCTCAAGAACTGGAGAAGAATCTAATTCTAACTGGGGCCAACTCACTGTGCTGTCTACCTTGGAGTGTGGGTGGTGCTGGCTCCTCTCTGGATGGGATGCCTCCATTTGTGTATGGTAGGATCAAGCCCAGCCTAGTTGAGTGGTCACGTACACGAGTCTGCACCACTGGACAAAACTCCATTCTCTCATGGTGGCTGCCATGTAGCGCCTACCAAATCATCATTGGGAGAAAAGCTGCTCAAGATTTCCCGACCTCCCCGCCCCACCTTCCTCAGCCCCACCTGAGTTATGAGTTCAAAGATTAAGTCAGATCACATCCTTCTGGATCCCCCATTTATTGGCTTTGGCTAAATTTTACTTTACTTTGATGCTGTTTCTGATGCATGGCATCAGAAAACATTCGTAGAGATAGTTGCGTTCGCTGGAACAATTCCAGTGAAAATGTGCACTGTTTTTCATATGTCTCTCATGAGAATCAGGAGAATGTGGGGAGGGGGGATGCAGATATTCCTACTGTCTCCCAAACGACAAGTTATGGTTTTCTCTAGTAATGGCTTTGCTTCCATTGAATTCAAATGGATGATGATTTCTCTCCATTTCACTCACTGTTACAAAGCTAAGAGACAACACCGTTGTCCAGCTCAACAAAGCTTAGGACACCATAGCCTGGATTTTGTATATTATCTTATTCTCTTCTCTGCTTGCTTTCCTCATTTCCTTCACCTATTTTAGTTCTTATTGTCCGAGGTGTCTCTAAGCTAGACTAAGGAATGGTAAAAAAGAAAACACAACAAAAGAACTTCTGTTATTTCCCAAGATTTTCTGCCCTTGATAATTCCCCCTTTTCATAGGAACAAACACAAGAGAAAAAAAATAAAGTAAAATGAAATGAAACATCACCAGTGCCAACAAAGAAACTCTTGGCAGGACTGAGAGCAACATCACTGTAAAGACTGGAGTTTATGCTGATAATATGAAAACAAGTCTCTAACACTTTGTATGCTGAGCACGCCACAATAATAAATGCCAGCATTCTAAATGGCTTGCTTGCTGTGAGCAGATTGCTGGAACTGAAATCTATCTCTTTTCTAAGGGACTTTTAGCTTTTATTATATCTTTATTCACGGTCAAAAGACATCAGCAAATTTGCTAAAGTGATTGAATATATTCTTTGAACAACATCCCTTTACGTTCATATCTTTGCCGCCATCATTTTGGATGTAGGCTTGTTTCCTTGGAGAGGAAATATAGGAATGTGCTTTACATTGGCACAGAGTTTTGATACAGAGTTTTGAAACAGCCAGGATTTTTTAAAAATCAATGTTCATAAAACCTTCACCTAAAATATTTCTAGGCTCTGGTGGGTTACACTTACATAATCCAGATACTCAGGAGCCTGAGATTTAAGGATTAAGGATCAAAGCCAGCTCAGGCAGGAAAGTCAGTAAGACTCATATCCCCAGTGGCTTACCAAAAAGCCAGAAGTAGAGCTGTGGCTCTACTTGAACAAAGAAGCTAAAAGACAGTGTGCCTAGGCCCTGAGTTCAAGTCTTAGTAACAGCACCAAAAAAAAAATAGAAAATATACTCAGTTCTAAGAGTAACTACAGAATCACTAACTCTTGAGAGCCTTTCAAACCCTGTTAGATGATATTTTGGGACCTCTTCCTTGTGGATCTCTGCATGCACAGAGTCTAAAACACAGTATAGCTTAATATGGATTTACTGAGTTGGTGAGTGATTCCCTGACTCTCAAAAATACTAGAGTTCCATCCAAGCCAAGCTGACCACAACGCAGACACACTACCTTCTATGGGACAAAGGGGGGAGGGGAATCACAGCCTCTACTGAATGACAGGGACTCAGACGGTGCAGTGAAACCACATACAAACATCTGCCTTCCTTGAGCTCCCTCAGTTTACCTCCTTGGCAAAGACATCCCAGAAAAAGACAACACAAAATCCGCTACCTGCAATGACTTTCCTGGGTGTTCTCTGGTCAATGAATAATTCCTAGTGTGCCAGTCTTATCTCTGTCACCTTTTTTCCACTCAAGAAAATATACCAGCACACAAAAGAATACGCGTCATAAACAGAGGAGCTATCTGGAACACAGTGTCATTCATTGAGAAAGTGAGTAGCTCACCATTTTGGCACTTCAGATTATACTATCAGGACATGAGACAGCTCACAATGATGAATGTATTTGATTCTACCCATGATGAGGACCAACTCCCCTACCAAAGCCAGCTGAGATCCCTGTGCCTTCTCATGCCATCCTGGTGACTTTTCTAGGCTCCAGACAAACCCTATACCCAGCATCATCATAAACAAAGCCTGTGCAAGCCACGTGAGCACCGCCAGAACCATAGATCGCTCCAAAGAATCTGCTACATATCACTTCGCTTCCGCCAGCATGACCTTCTGGAAGCTGCATCACAAGCAGCCAACTTACCACTCCACCGCCAGCTGAGTGCACCAGCACGGACATCCCTTCCCGGAGGTTGGCAACCTCAAAGAGCATCATGTAGGCGGTGACGAAGTTCATGGGAAAGGCGGCCGCCTCGGAGAAGGTCATGTCATCTGGGATCTTATAGACAAACTCCGCTGGTGTGCACACCACCTCTGCCCAGGCATTATAATTGACAAAGGCCATCACACGGTCCCCGATCTGAGAATGGGAAAACACAGGGTTAGTGAAGGCTCTGTGAGGGACCAAAAGTAGCAGGAACTGTCCATGGTACAAAAAGGATAAAGAACATCTCTACCCACATTCTTCTGAGTCTCACAGTCCTCTATTCATTGATGAAACGAATAACTTTTTGTAGAGTTGTAGCAAACACTCTATCCATGGCTAGTGAAGTTTAATGTTTAACAACTCACTTGAGGGACCACCCAGAGCTCCATCGTTCCTGCCTACCCATCTTTACCTAATCCTAAGTTCCAAGGAAGTTGGGTGGAGGAAGATCTGTTCTATCTGTGACATCCTAGACATCACTGTAGGGAGCAGCAAGAGGCCAGGGCAATATTGGCAGGGTTGATCAAGGAAGGAAGACCCTTCCTCCATTCTTGCAAAACCACCTTTCTCTTGTACTCTTCTTGAGGGTTCCTCAGGCTTTAGCTGCCATATCTTAATCATCCTTGGACTGACAATGTAGCTGAAGAATTCATCACTCCTCGTTGGGAGAATTTCCTATATTTGCATTTGATCCTCACAGGAAAGCTACCACTTCTCAGACAGGAATGATGAAGCAGACCCTGTCATGGTCATTGGAACTAAACTACTTAATCTGCATGATCTCTTCATGGACAAAGGGAATGGAGGGTCTCACAGGTTGAGTCTCTGCTCTAAGATGACCCAGGAGAAGGCTGTCTGATCCCAGACGTTTTCACAGCGTCCTAGTCATCTCCTTGTCAGGACTGTTTCTTCAGCACCCTTTTCAATCTGAAGTTTTTTAGGCACTGAAGATGTCTTTGTAAATAAGGGATAGCCTATGCTCTTTAAACGTTTAACCATTTGCTTTTAAAAAAAATTCAGTTGGTCAATACTGCCAGTGACTGGGCGTAGGAGGAGGCAAGACCGTTCCGAAAAGATACTTTATTAGAGAATAAAGCCCTAAGCCAAAAGCAAGACGCGCTGGTGGTAATGCTGCATTCGGTCCAGAGATGTTAAGATCATTTATTGTGTGGGGAAGGGTAGGGAGGGCAGGCCCAGGGATTCCAGACGAGCCGATAGGAAAATTCCCAGGCCCACTGGGGATTTGCCAGCCTGGCCAGTTGTGTTTATTTTGGAACAGCGTTGTCATAACTGGGGTGTGTGGCTGGCAGGGTTTGCAAGGACCCATTTGTCCAGCCAGCCAGGAAATGAAAGATAACAGACCAACCCTGGCCCTTTTCAGTTCTGCATAATGAGAAATTCAAGCAGACGAAGCAGGTGGGGAGAGCATCGACAACATTCTAAGTGATTCCGGGCATCTCTGCTTTGGGTTCCAGCATGTCCTTAGGTCAACGTGCCCAGCTGGCCCATTGCAGGAGAGATGTCCCAGTCACAGACTGCCCTGTCACAGCCATACAGGCAATGCAGAGCCAAGAGAGGAAAAAGGCCAACAATCCACCACCGCAGTCTGGCGGACTTACTGATTCCCTCTTTTCTTTTCTCCTTTCTTTATCCTCCAGAAGTTTCACCTAAGTTCAAGTAGGCTCTCCCTTCCCTGAGATCATCCTGAGATCTGGACAAGGAAAAGTCTTTGCTTCAGAACCATATATGTTGTTGGATGCCTGTGGCTCACGCCTGTAATCCTAGCTACTCGAGATCTGAGGATTGGGGTTTGAAGCCAGCCTGGGCAGGAAAGTCCATGAGATTCTTCTTTCCAATTAGCCATCAGAAAGCCAGAAGTGGAGCTGTGGCTCAAGAGAGTGTTAACCTTGAGTAAAAATGGTCAGGGATAGTGTACTGGCCTCAATATCAAGCTCTGGGACTGGCAGGCGCGCGCGTGCACGCACGCACGCACGCACGCACACACACACACACACACACACACACGCACGCACGCACGCACGCACGCACGCACACATTGTGTTATCTGGGGCTTCTGTTCCCACTTACCTTCTTTCCCTCCCCAAGCACACGGGAGGCTGAAGCAGTAGATCTCAAGTTGGAAGTCAGCTTTGGCTATAATAGAGAGAACCCCAACTCAAAGAAAAACCAAATAAAACCCCAAGAGTGGAAGTCTGCATAAAAAGGACTAAGCATAGGGAGAAATGGAAAGAGTGCCACCGGTGAGAGGAGCAGCAGCTAGCATTTATGAGAAACGTTTTACATGGCAGCCATTTCACTAAGGATTTCACGTCATCTTCAAATGTGGACACTGAATTTCTTTTATCAGGAGTTGAAATAGCTAAACACTGTGTATGGGTTGGGAAGGGAGGAAGACTCTTCTCTTTAGAATCCTGGGGTTTTTCCCCCCCACAATCTATCATCATTAACAATGACACAATGAATACAAATGATACAATGAATACAAATAAGTGAATAAATATTAATAGCTTGCATGAGTTGCCAAGTATTAGTTATATGAAATCATTCTGGCGCTTGATATGTCAGTTGCTTCTATGAAGACTTTTGAATGCAAAAACCCAAATTCCTGGGGTCAGAATGATTTCTTCAAAGACTCATATCTTGCATACGTAAGCTTAGATACAGTTTCTTATCATTGATTTCATTTATTTATTTACTTATTTACTTTTGAGGTATGAGGGTTTGAACTTAAGCCTGTAATTGCTAGGCGGGCACTCTACCACTTAAAGTTGTGTCTCCAGCTGTTTCTGCTTTCGCTGTATTTCAAATAAGGTATCAATTTTTGCCTAAGCCAGGTGGACTGTAATCCTATTTATGATTTCTTCTGGGAGAGTGGCATGTGTGACCATACGCAGCTTTTCATTGGTTAGGATGGGAGTCTTGTGAACATTTTGTCCAGGCATCTTTGAACAATGATCTTTCCAATCTCAGCTTCCTGAGTCGTCAGGATGATAGGCATGAACCACCCTGCCTAGCAATTATCAATTAGCAATTGATAATTAGCAATAATCACATCTCAGATAAACCTCCTAGCACAAAGCTTGTATTATTTACTTTGTGGCTTAGTAATTATGTTTTACCTCTACCCTACCTAAACAAAAACAAGCAAAAATTCTTTGAATGGGTTCTATTCTTTTCCCACAGTACAGATGAATCACTGAGTTTCTACAGACATTTAAACTGAGGCAAAGAGAGACAAAGTCACTTGCCAAAGGCCACTGAGCTAGAGAGCGACAGAATCTGGTGTGTGATTTCAGATACAAAGAACTGATTCACTACAGTGGACATAAATATAACCAAAGAAGCACAAAACATTCCAAAAGAAGCCAGGTGGGGTAGTAAACCCCTATATTCTAGTAGTCAGGAAACTAAAGCAGAAGGACCACAAGTTCAAGACCAGCCTAAACAATTTATCAAGACTATGTCTCAGAATAAAGAAGGGCTAGTATAGTTCAATGGTAGAGTGTCTTGTTCAATCCTCCAACGTTTTACACACACACACAGCAGAAACATGTAATTATATGCAAATGTACATCAGGGGAACTCTTAATTGGACTCTAACTTTTCTCACCACTAAAGTGAGTGTAATATTAACAAAAGATCCTTGTGAAGACCTAATGTATATGCAATATGCAATTACATGGTGCATGAAAATGAGGAATGAGCAATATATGTTAACACCTAAACAGAACTGGCTTCTTCCTAACCTCACAGATTAATGACTAAGCTGAGTGCAGATGCACTATACTTCAGGAAGCCGAATGAACAGCTGACTAATGAAGACATGGAGGGAACAGAGAGGCTGTGTCCCTGGCAGAGTCCAGACCCTGGGAGGCCAAGGGATGAATGTCAGGATCTCATCTTCAAAGCAAGGATTTCAACCAGGTGCTAACGGGGGTATAGCATTGGCCTCCTCTTCTTCCCCAATCATAGAGCAACAGAGGGTATGAATTTGACTCCATATATTGTATGCATGTATGCAAATATTACAATACAACCCCTCTGTCCAATTAATAGATGCTAATTTTAAAAAAAATCAGGAAGACACCCCCTTAACAGAGGAACTGATAGCCTCTAGTGTAAATACAGCAAAAGAAATGAAGTTTTTTTAACCACTCTGACAGTTCATCTCATTATTTGAGTCTACTGAAAAAAATATACCCAGCCCGGAGCAGATGAGCCCAAATCATTTCTTTACTGTTGGGTCTCTGGAGAAAGATTTTCATCCTGCACTGCAACTGATCAAAGCAACAGAACTGCTCAGCTGACTCCTGCCTGGATTCCGTCTCCAGCCTGACTGTACAGAAGAGAGTTATGAGACTTCTGAAGAAAGCCTACCATTAACAAATGTCACCCATAAAATAGTAATGCATGTTTCAGATGTGTTTTGGTGTAGTCTTTCATCATCCCAATGGATTCTAGATGAGTATCACTCTTGAAGTCAGATTCAAAACCTTACCTCATAGCCTTTCACGCTGTCCCCCAGAGCTTCAACAATTCCAGAACATTCAAATCCTGGCACCAGGGGAGTCTTGGGAGGGTTGTCGATATTTCCTTGTCGTACCATCAGGTCAATGAAGTTCAATCCACTGTGAAAAGAGAGAAATTCAAAATGAGATGCAAACAGAGCATCCACCTGGTTTTCTTTCCTTCCCTTTTCTTGTCTTCCCTTCCTTTCTTCCCTTCCTTTGTTCTTTCTTCTTTTTTTTAAATTTCTTTCTGGCTTAGTGTCTCTAATAGTAAGGCCACTTAGCTAGATGTCATCAATAAAAACAAAATTCAATTACTTCTAGACAGATAAATAATGGACTTCTGGCAGCGAAAATAGTGGCAGTTTTCACTTTAATTCGAAACTGAGCCCTTTTGTCCTCTCTTGGAGCCTGTTTACTCTCTCTGGAAACACATATTGACTAGCCTAATCATTAGACAATCTAGTACTTAATCAAGGGTATGAAAATATATATATATATATATATATATATATATATATATATATATATATATAAATGCCAGGAAGAGGTACAAACAGACACATGGAAAGCAGCCAGACACCATGGCCTCCAGCCAAACTACAAGAAGGAGAAAGGAGACCTAATTGAAAAGATCTCAAAACAGCCAACCACTTCCCCTCCATCATCACACTCATTTATGCCAGCACCTTGCGCACAGACAACACCCAAAAGGATGAATGGGAACCATCAAGAGACTGTATTATAACCTGCAGGAGGAGGGGGCTCCAAAAGAGACATCAAAGCCCTGGTCTGATAGATATGGGAACGAACGCTGGATCTAAGTTATCTCTGGATAAAGGAAGTTACTGGATACATTCTCTTAACATATGACTTTAAAAATAAGCATGCTATGAAAATATACCTAAGTCATCACCACGGGAAGGCATCTACTTGCTTCTAATGCACCATTTCCTCAAACTGCCCTAGGGAGTTGCATTAAATACCCACTTACTAGTAGAACACATCCCATGGAGCGTGTATTTTGCCTCCCGAAGGGTGTGATTGTAATGTGCTTATTGGTTTCATCAACCACCATCTAAGACAGACTCACGTTGCAGAACTCAAACTTCCCAGTCCAACCCATGAGCCATTATCCCCTGGCTGTATTATCCCCTGGGTTGAACTTTTAATCACACCTTGCCAATTTCTTCCTCTGTCTCTTTGGAATCAAGGAAGCATCTAATTCTGCCTGCAGTCCCCAGTCTAGCTCATCAGCCTTATCCACAAAGAATGCATGAGAACAAAAAGGGAGGCCTGCCTTTTAAAATTGGGTTCAAAACTTAACCAACTTCTCAAGGTGTCCTGACCATATTGCCCAGATGGTTACAGCTCTTAAACTTGCTACTCTAACCTCCCCCCCCCTTGAAGGCAGCTTACATTTCTTTGCTTCCAGAGATCCTGAGCATGCAATACTACAAATAGGTTAGGTACCCAAGTAACATCTGCTGAGTGAAGGAATAAATTAATCAAGGATATTCAAAGTTCATGTCTCCTGTTTGAGCAAATTCTCCAGTCTACCATGTTTACCTGTGTGACCTGGAGAAGGTGGTATAGATTCTCCAAGCTCCAAGGTCCTCATCTAAAAAAGCAGGGATTAGATAGTGCCTACCTAATGGGCTTGCTGTGCAAATAAGTAAAGCAATTAAACAAGTGTGGCACCAGATATAGAGAATATTCAACAAGGTTAGTCTTCAAGTGCACAGCTCCCTTTACAAAGGCAAGTATGTGAAGCATTTTGGGAAAAGGATTAAAGACAGCTATAGAGCTGACTCAGGGAAACTTCAGCAGTCCATAAATTTCGCTTCTATGAAACGGTCCATTTTACAACACAATCGAAGAAACAAAGCTTCACTGTCTAACAATAAAAGGAATTTCTACATTCTCAAACAAACACTCTAATGCATTCCAAGCATAGTTTAGCTCACTGTGTTTCCCTTTGTGTGAAAACTTATGATTTCCCAAGACCCTGATGAAGAAATGTCAGAAGAAATTACTGGACAGTTCTGCAAATGCAGAAGATCCCCTGGAGAAGAAAGCCTTCATCCTAGAGCTGATTAACTGTCAGACACCATCCAGCCTGAGCTGGGCCTGGGGACAGGAAGTGAAGAGCTAGGACTGACTATCTAACAGACTGTAGCTTCCTGTTTCATCAGAAAGGCAATCAGTGATTCTGCCAAGTTGTGGTCTTGCTAAGTCTGCTTATTTTACTTAACATAATAATCTCCAATTCCATTTGTTTTCCTGCAATGACGTAATTGCACCTTCTTTAGAGTTGAATTCAGCCCTATATATCTATTTAATCAGCTATATGTGCATATAATGATATTCACAATGTGATATGGATATATTACATTATACATATATGTATGTTTGCGTGTGTGTGTGTGTGTGTGTGTGTGTGTATCGTTATCCATTCATCTGTTGTTGGACACCACTGAGGCTGATTCCATAACTTGACTATTGTGAATAGCACTACAGTACAGGAAAGTAAGAATCTCTATGGCAGGCTGACTTTTATCCCTTCTGGTATATGGCCCAAAAGTAATATAGCCATAGTTACTTCTTTATACAGACAGATGAATCTATCCTGAAATTTCAGCATGACGTTGAGCTATATGGGTCTTGAGGTCTCATACAGCATACAGACTGGTTATGTGTCTTGCTTTGTGTTGGCAGATTGGACACTCTCTCCAAATCTGCTTTCCTCCTTCTCTTCATTTTCAATGCCATCCCAACTTCTGAATGATGTTTCCCTTTAAAGAATATTTTATCTACTATTACAGAAGCTGGCAAACTTAGGCTTGTTATCAGAATTCCCAAGGAGGGCTTGTTCACATAAGTTGTTGAGCCTGACCCCTGACTCAGTAGGTGTGAGGTAAGGGCAGAGATTTTTGCATTTCTAATGAGTTTTCAGGTAAAACTGATGCTTCTGGGTTCGGGATCAGGCTTTGGAGAGCAGCTGACCAATCAAATGCTTTTAAGCTAAGTTCAGTTTTCTCTTTCTATCTTTTCTTTCTCTCCTTTCTTTCTTTCTTTCTGAATGAGATCAGATTAAAAAAAATAAAAGATGCTGATTAGATAGATATGAAAATAAAGGGTTCTCCCGTGATCCTCTAGGGCAGTGGAAGTTTCTGATCCTAATCCAGAGCATTATAAATATAAAGCTTACTCATATTAAATATAATTCTTATTAAATGTGGTCTTATTAGCTTAGGCTTACCATTCCAACTGGCCATTTCTTCCTTGAGTCTTTCAATCTTTCATCGCCACCCCTCCCCCCCCCCAAAAAAAAAACCTGGCTCTCCTTCCTGGATTTGTATCCTCTGGAAATGTAGTGATCATGCTATTGCTGGTGGAAGTATTAGACAGGTTGTTACATTTCTGTGTTAGAGGTGTGTATGAAGACAGTGAAAGATGCCATGGAGACCAAAGCATACAATGATCTGCGTGTGAAATTATCAGGTCATGTATTCTCATGATTCTCTGAAATCCCTGGAGTTCAGGTGTATTGTGTACTCCATGAGGTCTTGGCCTTGGTGAACGATGGCCGTTAGCCCTCTCCCCATAGCAGGAATTATGGAGCAGAGAGGTGAACCTTGAGCACAATGATGTTGTGGATGTATGTATGTCAGGATCATCATAGTGCTGGTGTTTTCTCCCATATATCCCCAGAGTCTGCCTAGCCCAAGCAGTTTTCATCATCACTGTTTAAGGGTTGAGGTGTAATCTTGGGCTGAACAAGGCTTCCTTCAGCTGTGAGGAATAAGGGCCAAGATCAAAAATAACAATCTCCACGAGAGAGGTTGTATGATCACTACTTCCAGGTGTCTCCCACCCCAACCCACAACCTCAGAGAGGTTGCCGCTGTCAGTGACTATTTATGGGGCCTCTTTGTTTAGCAGTTCTTCAGGAGAAAGATCTAGAAGGTCTTAGAACCAAGCATGAAGGTGGCAATGAGAACAAGATCTTCAAGGACATGATAGAGAGAAGGGAAAGGGTGATGGAGAAATTAAAGAAATCAAAGAATCAAAGGCATGGAGACCAGAGAAACAGAAAATAAGGAAAAGATGGGGAGGTGGATGCACAATCCAAATGCCTGCAAGCTGGATGTATGGCCAGGGGTTAGGGCTGTCTATGTGTCTGCAGGAATGAGGTGACACCAGGAAAACACTTTCTGAGTCCAAATGGATGCTCTCACCAGCCTTCTGTCTGCTGGACATAAAGGACCCCAGTATCCATGCCCGCCTTTGCCAGCTCCAAGAATAACTAAGCAGACTAACATGACGCTTTGACCAAACAATAAAAACAGCCAAGGAGTGTGACTTCCCTTATTCTGCTCTTGTCAGTGCAGATAACACGTTCATCAAAGCACTTAACTCCAATCCACATGAGGCCAAAGAAACAGATGTTTGATTCATCCCCTCATTTCCCAGCAACTGAAGTTTTTATTTCTGGCTACTTAATCCCAATTGATAGCTTGAAAATGCCTAAGAAAATAAGCATTGATTGATCTAAAAAACGAAAATTGTGTTCACATTTCCTTTTCATTTTTTTCATTTTTTTTAGTTGGTTCAAAAGCACACATTTGGTCTCAAGATTGTGAGAAGAAGAATAATCTATTCTGGAAGGAAAATAATGTCTAAGACAAGGACACCTTTTATGCGAGTCTCAAATCGCTTCTTATCTAAGTTGTCAGCCAGAATTGTCTGTCCTGAATGGACTGTGGCCTAGAAAGGACCCCCTGTGTTCAGTCAGAGGATGCAAAGAATAAGTTATGAGTGTCCCAAATTTCCTTCTTCCCACTGCAATGGTCCCCCTGCGGTCTGGCTCCAGAAGACCCCACCAACCTTTCTCTAACCACTATTTGTAGATATACCAATTAGTCCCTGCAGCCATCTGGGACATTACAGCCATCTGTAATTCATGTGATGCTTTTCATGGCCTACCACTTCCTTATTGAGTAAGTGATGCTGCTACCTCACCACCACCACCCGCATCCCTTTTTCATAATGTATGCAGGAATGAAGAGTTACAGATATCTCTGGATATAGTTGTCCAAGTTCTTTGGGGCTACTGTA